GTTTTCACTGACTTACTGGCTCGCCCTTGGATCCAGGATAACCTCGGATTCCATCTTTCCCCGGAGAACCATCTAAGCCGGGCAGCCCTGGAGGACCTGGGAAACCTGAATTTCCCTTTTCACCTTTCATTCCAGGGAAACCAATCATGTCACCTGGATCACCTTTAGCACCAGGACGTCCAAGAGAACCTTGGGGTCCGGGAGGACCCTAGAGACAAAACAAGAATTATTTTAGTCCTCAGGAGTGCAAGCATTTGGCCCTTTGCTCCCCCTCCATTTCCAGGGATGATGCTTACTTGAGGCCCAATAAATCCAATTACACCAGAAACGCCTTTGTCACCTTTTGACCCAGGAAGACCAGGAGACCCTGGGATCCAAACGGAAAGAAGAGATTAATGGCGCAGGAGAGAAAACGTTATCTCCATGTCCCAAAGGATTTTCTTGGTTTTTTTCCCCCTTGAAAATGTTTCTGAAGCTTCTTCAGTTCTTTAGAACAGGGCTTTTCAACCAGTGGTACGGGTACCACCTGTGGTACATTGGCACCTGGCAGGTGGTACGCGACCATCCTAGAAAAGTGGTAGTGGGGGAGGGGAATGAGCTGAACCGGTGGCAGCACCGCACAAGCCTGAGTGAGAGACAGCTGGAGCTGCAGGGCGGTCAGGGCTCAGCGGAAGCGCCAGGATCAGCGCCAGGCTCCAGCTGGAGCTTAGCACTGATCCTGGTGTTTCTGCTGAGCCCTGAAGAAGCACCGATCAGCTGGAGCTCGGCACTGATCCTGACACTTCTGCTGAGCCCAGAAGAAGCGCCGATGAGCTGGAATGTTGCAGCATCTCCAGGGTCTTGTGATTTATATTCAGATGCTTGGCAACTGATTCATATTTATGACGGTCACAGTGAAGTGACTAAAACCTGCCGCAACCACCCATCCTAAAATGGACAACTTTAAAAAACATGCTGTTAACAGATCCCCAAAAGATTTTACAAGATCCTTGTCATGGTTCCCACTAATGAAACACTTCAAAGAACTTCCAGGCATTTTATCCTAAAAAGTTTTTTTATTCATGTGACAAAATGTCGGCATGGTATGCAGTTATTTTTGCTAGCATTTCCCCTCCCTTATTTTGCTGTCATGATTTACGTTCTCCAATTAGTTTGAAGGGCAAAGGTTCTCCTCCTTTCCCTTTCATGGGCTTTTCTCTCCTCCCTCACTCAACTGAATTAACTCTAAAAGTACCAGACAGTTCTGCATATTTTGTCAAAGCAAGAATATTCAATATTAGCAGCATTGACAATCCTCTCTTCCCATTGCCTGAGAAACACGGGCATGCCTAATATTTTGATCCTACCAGCAGCTACTACTATGGCATGCATTTCTCCTCCAGTCCTACATTTCATGCAAACAGAGGCAGCTGAGCTGGTGGGCAAATCCATGGGAAAAGCGTGGCGTATTCTCCCATGATGCTTTGCTCTTCAGAACAACAAGTTGACTGTCCAAGCTTTTGCCAACATGAACCTCTTCCTCCAGATATGGAACCAACTCCAAACTCCCAACCTGGCATAGCCCCTCCTGAAAATTTTAAGAGTTGAAAGTCTGCACATCTGGACAGAAGCCGTGTTTGGGAAAGGCTATGTCATGTGTCTGATTAATGAAACATTTCAAAGAACTTTCAGGCATTTTTTTTAACCTAAAAAGCTTTTATTAGTATTACAGAGTGTCAGCACAGCATGGTGGATGCTAAGATCTGAATTTCCCTTCCTTTGCACATAACATTCCAGGCATTTCCCCTCCCCTATTTGGGGGTCATGATTCACATCTTCCAATTAACTTGGAGGGCAAAGATTCACTTCCGTTTCTTTTTCCCGGGCTTTCCTTATTTTCTCCTCCCCTTTCCCTGTCACCTGATTTAACTCTAAAAATACCAGACAGTTCTGCATATATTGTCAAAGCAAGAATATTCAATATTAGCAGCGTTGACAGGCTAGACTGATGTTTGTTTTTCCTCATAGTTTTACCTTCCATTCACATGGTTCATGGGGTGGGTGTAATTTCTGCGGCGTGCAAATAAAATGGTTCATGATGATGTTGTGTCCTATGCAATAATGCAACTGCTTCACAGTTATGGGATACAGTAGTCTTAATGGGCACAAAAAAAGAAACAACGAGACGAGCCACAAATGAATACCTGGATCTCCAGGGAGCCCCGGAAAGCCTTTTTGCCCTGGAGGGCCCGGGATGCCACTTCCTATGCAGTTAAAGCAGGTGTCACCCTTGTCACCTTGAATCACAAGACACACAGCGCAATGAGTTGAATGAAAGAAATGCAGTGATACAAACATGTTAGTGAAAATAATTCAGACAGCATCTTCTTGCAAAAACTGATTCTCTTGATTAAACGCCCGTGGAATCCTTGGTGCTCTCTCTTTTTTAAAATTTTTTTTTCCTTTTTTCTTTTTCTCTTTACAAAAAAACAAAATACAAAGTACATTTTTCTTTTTTCTTAACAATATTATGTCCTATATCTCTTACATTTATTTACACTTATTTACATTACTTCTCATGCTTTTTTATTTCTCAATTCTAACCAATCGTAATACCTATCCCATATCTCATAAAATTCTGTAACTTCCTTGTCTTTTATTTCTAGAGTAAGTTTGTACATCTCAGCACATTCTAGTATCTTGTAAATAATCATTACATTTGTTGATATATTTCCCCTTTTCCAGCATTACGCATATGCAATGCATGCAGCAGTTATTATGTGTATAATGATGTATTGAAGTTGTTTTTCCACCTTTGGATTGATTATGCCTAATAGGAATATTTCGGGTTTAAGTTCAATTTGTTCTTTTGTTATTTCCTGTATCCATCTCCTTATCTGCTCCCAATCAGTCTTTGCTTTGGGGCATTGCCACCACATATGATAAAATGTTCCCTCTTTATTTTTACATTTCCAACAGTCTGGATTCATATTTTTATATATCTTAGCCAATCTCGCCGGTGCTAAATGCCATCTATAGAACATTTTATATTGGTTTTCTTTGTATGCGGTTGACGTTAGTTTGTAATTTTTGTTCCATACTCTTTCCCATTCATCTAATTTTATATTTCTACCTATATTTTGTGCCCATGCTATCATTGGACCCTTTACTATTTCTTCTTCCAGTTCGACTTCTAATAAAAGTTTATAGGTTTTTGTTAAAAAAATTTCCTCTCTTGCTTGTCAATATTTTGTCCAATTGCTGTGGTATCCGACTTATTCCATACTCTTCCATATGTTTGCTATATTTTGATTGTATCTGTAAATATGGCCACCAATCGATAATTATTCCCTGTTCTTTTAATTCCTCCCTTGATCTCTCTTGATGCGCTCTGAGCTTGTAGACGTTTCATTACCGGAGTAGGTAACATTATCAGTATAAGTCAGTGTGGGGTTTGTTCCCTGTTTACATACAATACAGTAGCTTGCCCAGCCAGTGTTGGGGAGTGTGTGATCTTCTACCAAGAGCTAGCTAGAACTGCATCCTATATTTCTATAATGTCTTTATTATATCTAGATATTTATTCATTTACAATGCTTTTGTAAATAGTGGTGTACAGCAGAAGCAGAGTCGACTGATATGACCTCAAGAAATGCTTGTTTTGTTTTTGTCAGGCAACAGAACACACCCTCCCCAATTTTGTGGCACACCACCACTGAAATCATAAGGAGTTTCAAAAGCAAGCTTGTGAATGTTACAGGTG